TCCCCCGCCCTCTCCTGGCCACATGCGGAAGTGCAGGGGCCTGTGGGGTCAGCAGGTCACTGGGCCAGGGTGTGCCCGGCAGCTCTCGGGAGCTAGTTGTTAAACACCATTATTAAACATTAAACTATAAAATCTTAAGTTATATGAACCTACAAGTAAATTATATTGAAAACCAAGACAGTGGAAATTGAGTGTATCACTTCTTAATTGTTTTGCCTGAGTTTATGGTATTTTTTGTGCTGTCAACGGTACTTACACCTGTGGGCTCTTGTCAGTGGCTATACCATACGATGCTATCACACATGTCTTCCCAACTCTGCATTGGACAAGTTACGCTGACAGAAATCACCATGGTGGGTTTTTACACCATAGAAGTAGGCTTCTCAAAGCTATAAATCAGGGCATTTTTCCTCCAGAGAGCTAGTTGTTAAAGATTTTTAAAATGTATTTTGAAGGAGAAAGAGAATGTGTGAGTGGTGGAGGGGCAGAGAGAGAGGATCGCAAGCAGGCTCCACACTGTCTGCTCAGAGCCTGATGCAGGGGCTCAAACCCATGAACTGTGAGATCATGACCTGAGCCAAGATCAAGAGTTGGGACACTTACTGACTGAGCCAGGTGCCCCTCCAGAGAGCTAGTTGCTAAGCCTCTGCCAGCACATTCCATTCAAGGATGGGCCTTGGTTCTGGTGGTCCTAAGTAGGGGTGCTGGCACTCAGATCCCCCTGCTCCTCCAGGGTTTCATCCTCCTGCCCAAGACAGAGTGTGACATCCAAGAAGTAGAGTTTGCCCGATGCCTGCGGCTTCGCCAGACCTCCCTGGAGCCTGTTGCCTTCCGTCTGCCCCGAGTCAGGGTGAGGTTGGGGGCCCAACACCCCGACATCTAGTCCCCCTTCACAGCCCCTATAAAAGGGGCTTTGGGGCCTAACTACCCCCGTCACCAAACTGTCCCACTCACTGCTCTTTGGGGTACCTGTTCCCTTACTCTGCTGCAATTCTGAAACTGGCAGAAACGCCAGAGCAGGCCCCGGGTCTCTCCTTACCTCCTTTCCCACGGGGTGCTGATACCCCTTGGGCCTCTGGCAGGTGCCCCAGTCTAGCCCCTTTGTCCTTCCTACAGAAAGAGTTCTTCCAGGATGATGTGTTCCCAGACACAGCCGTGAGCTGGGAGCCAGTGCTCAGTGTGGAGGCCTGGCTGGGAGGTGCTAATGGGCAGCCCCGGCTGATCAGCCTGCAGCCCCCGGGCATGACCCCAGGTACGATGAGCAGCTGGGGGTGCTGAGTAGAAAGCAGGGAAGTGAGGTGTGGGGTTGGAGAAGGGGTTAAAAGGTCAAGTCCAAGATCCCCCTGATCCTGCTGGCACACAGAAACCTCTGGCCATCCCAAGGATAGGGTGCTTGTGTTTCCAGGCTCATACTCTGACCCTTTCGAGGGCAAGACCCAGGGTTTGTATTTCCATCACAGTTCCCACCCCTGATGTGCATGCACATGTGTGTGCACACACACGCTCCATGGTGTCCACAGCAGCCTTGGGAACAGAGGATGGGGTAGCTGTTATTGCCCCTTCTGGGGTCTCTGCCACGGGATTCCCTAGGGAAGGGTACCAAAGGGTTGGGCAAGGAGTCCTCACCGAGGGGGGTTCTCTGATGTCTGATGCTTGTCCCTGCCCTACCCCAGTGAGCCAGGCGCCCCGTGAAGCCCCTGCTCGTCGGGCCCCGTCCTCAGCACTCTACCTGGAAGAGAAGTCAGACGAACAAAAGAAGGAAGAGGTAGGTGTGGGAGGGGGCTGACCGGTATGGCACACACCGAGTCCTGGCCATACCTGATGATTGCCCTCAGTCCTCTGTCCGACCCAGGCCGGAACAGGAGCCAGGGTCACACACTTCTCTTGGCTGGGCAGCTTGATGGGGGAGACCTTCCAGAGCCCTGAAGCGGACCCATGGGCCACAGGACTCAAGAGGCCCCCCTCTGGCCTGGCCCAACCCAAACAGAGCCAGGGGTTTGGGACCCAAGTGCATTTGGGGCCCTGGTGCACGTCTGAGTGTCTGAGGCAGTGTGCAGACTCCAGCGCTGCGTGGCACACAGTCTGCCTCTGGCTCCCTAATCTCAGCTGAAGTGTCTTTTTCTGTGAAAACCATCCCCTTTGTCAGGGCTCTGATGAAAATGGCTCTTTGCGCAACCTTGATATAGTTCAAACTGTGAGGGCCTGTGTTCCCGGGCTTAGCAGCCCTATTCTGTTCCCTTCCCACCTCTTCTCCTGTCCACTCTCCTAGCTGCTCAACGCCATGGTGGCAAAGCTGGGGAACCGGGAGGACCCGCTCCCTCAGGACTCCTTCGAAGGTGTGGACGAGGACGAGTGGGTGAGTGGATGAGAGGGCCCTGGCATCCCCTCCGTCCCTCCCTCACCCTGCAGCCTGCGACACCCTCCTTCCCCAGACCTCTCAACTCCCTCCCACTTGGTTTACCTCCCCAGGACTAGACTGCCCACCAGCCACCTCCGGGCTCACCTGCCGCCGCCACCTCCCGGAACCCCTGACGTGGTGCCCGCTACACACCTCAGGTCTCCCCCTCAAACTGGAAGATGCCTCGTGGCCCTGGCACACCTTGTCCCAAAAGCCCTGGCCTCCTTGGGGCCTTGGGCACTTCCAAGGCCTCTGGGTCCCACTGCAACTCCCATGGATTGTCCTCACCTCTGCTTTTTCTGGGACTGGCTGCTTCTCCTCAGCTGCCTGCTCGCATGTGGAGCCAGGGGCACGGGAGCACGGTGGGCAGGGAGCGGGGAGGGGTCAGGAGCATGTCCTTGGGCTGGTCCCAACCTTGGCTGGCTTTGCCCAGCACCTTCACTGATCACGTGCCATATCCCACCTTGCCTGCTGCCCAGATCCAGGTAAGGGCCTTGGGGGCTGGCCCCCTGTCAGGCCGTATGGAGCAGCACCAGCCTCAGGGGCCAGGGACCGGTTGCCCTCCTCCCCAGGTTTGAAACCGGGAGAAAGGGGGGCATCACATAGCTGATGGCCCAGTTAAGGGGGGTGTGAGCCCCTCAAGGACTGGCCTGCATATACCCTGGATGTTTTCGCAATTAAAGTTTTCTAAGCTGGCCGCCTCTTGTGCCGCTGTGGTCTCTTGGCTGACTGAGTGGAGGGGGCAGGAGTTTGGGTGAGGGCAGTTGGACCCTGGGTTCCCCCTTGTTTCAGGCCTCACTTTGCTTCTCATGCCTTTTCAGGTGCTAGGAGTTAGTTCATTCATCCAACACGTAGATACCCAACAACAGTCTGAATGGTAGATACGGTAACGGACAGGAGTGACAAGGCCTCTCAAGGCCCTTGTTATTGTCTTCCTGTGCAGGGAGCCAGACTGTGCAAGTAAGCAAACTGTGAAGAGAGCTGTAAAGAAGACAAAGTAGGAGCACCTGGCTGGTGCAGCTGGTGGAGTGTGTGACTCTTGACCGTGGGGTTGTGAGTTCAAGCTCCAAGTTGGGCATAGAGATTACTTAATAAAAAAATAAAGAAAGAAAGAAGACAAATTATGTGAAACGGAGCAGCAGAGATAGAGAGGAAGCAGGGTGTTCAGAGTCTGAGAGGAGACCTTTAAGCTGAGAGTTGAGACCTGAAGGTCACTGAGCCATAGAGCCCTGAGAACGTTTCAGACAGAAGACAAGCAGCCACAGCTCTCAGGGAAGAAAGAATTTGGAGGTTGGAAGAAAGGAAAGGGCAGTGGTCCGGAACATAGCACAAGGCATCAGGTTCATTGAACAAACGTGTGTTGAGTTCCTTCCATGTGCCAGCATCCTTCCAGGTGCTGAAGTTCAAGAGTGGAGAAAAGAGAAAAGTCCTGCCCACCAGGAATCCACATTCTAGTTGGAGGGAACAGGTTATAAACAATAAGCATAAAGTACATGAATTATGCCTAGGTGGCTCAGTCGGCTAACCAGCTGACTTCAGCTCAGGTGATGATCTCGCGGCTGCGGAGTTCAAGCCCCAAGTCCGGCTCTGTGCTGCTAGCTCAGAGCCTGCTTCCGATTCAGTGTGTCTCTCTCTCTGCCCCTCCCCCATTCACAATCTGCGTGTGTCTCTCTCTTTCTCTCAAAAATTTAAAAAAAAAAATTAAGATGATTAAGTAAGAACTTTGGGGGGAAAAAATGGAGGGGACAAAGAATGGAAGTTTAAGCCAAACACAAAAAGCCACATATTGTAGGCTTCTATTTCCATGAGATGTTCAGAACAGGCAACTCCATGGGGACAGAACAAGGATTAGTGGTGGCCGAGCGCAGAGGGGTGGGGGAGGGGCAGCGGTTGTGAATGCAGGGACTTTTTTGAGGGGTTGACGAAAATGTTGTGGTGTTCTTGTGGTATGGTTGCACAACTCAGTGACTATACTAAAAAGCCCTGAATTGTGCACTTTAAAATGGTGAATTGGATGGTGTGAATTTTATCTCGATAAAGCCGTTACTGTAAAACAGTGCAGGACGAGGTTCAGCGTTGGCGGGGGTCGGGGTGGGTCTCGCTGAGGTGACATTTGAGCAGGAACTTGAAGGAGGGGGCAGCGAGGGGTCCTTCCCAGGCTAGAGGGACCCTAGCACGAAACCTATTTTGAAGTTCCCTGGTTTCTTATATATTTGTGAGACTTTGGCATCCTACTCCTTATGTTAGTGGGGTGTTATATGTTTATTGCATACCTTTTAGTAACAAATATTTTGGCAAAATCAAGGGAAGAAATTGCTCCGCTCTTGACAGATGTATTTATTCTGTAGCATCTAGCGCTGCACTGTGAGCGCGAGAGCCCGGGTGAGGACCCGGGAGAGTCCTGGGCCCGCCCATCACCCGCCAGTCGCCGGCCCATCACCCGCCAGTCGCCGGCCCATCACCCGCCAGTCGCCGGCCCATCGTCGGTCCCCTGTTGGCTTCTGAGCCGGAGCCCGGGGCCGACTCCGCCTCTGGCTCCGCCCACGTATTACGTCACGGCACGCGCCTGCTGGAGGGAACTGTGCGCATGCCTAGTGCGGCGTCACGCACGCGCTCTCTCCCTTGACCTCTGACCCCCCCGGCCGCCCTTGAGCTGGGGGCCGTGGGGCCAGGAAGCAGGGGCCAGGAAGCAGGAGCCAGCGACCCCGAGGCGTAGCTGCCGCCATGGTGAGGCCCGAGTTGGGCGCTGCCCGGGGGAGGGGAGGCCGTTTCGGGGCCGGATCAGGGGCGGCGACCCCCGACCAGGCTGCGGGTGCCGCGCGACCCACGTGCCGGACGAGGAACAGGGGACGGGGGGCGTCGCACCGGGAAGATCGCGGCGGGCGCTGGCGGCCTCCGGCTCACGGAGAGCCGCTTGTCCGGAAGGCAGAGCGGGCCTGGCCGGCCGGAAAGTGCCCAGCAGTTGCGGTCGCCGTGTGTTCTAATCCATGTGCGCACAGCCCCAGCGGGAGGCTAGGGCCGACCCGGGAGCCCTGCTTTGCCCCGCAGCCAGTTGGTGGTGTCGCCCTATTATTGTCCCGCTTTCAAGCCCGACCCAACGGTCTCTGAGACTTTGCCAAGGAAGTGGTAGAGCTAGGTCTTGAACCGGCCCCTCGACACCGAAAACTGAGCGTTTTTGCGATATCCCTGGCACTTGGACCCAATCCACAGACCTGGGCTGCACTGGCTGCGACAGTTGCACCTGAGGACCCTGTAAAAATGCATTGTCCTGAGCTGTCCTCGGAGGTTCTGTCAGTTCCCTAAGTGATTGAGGCAGTCAGTTTGCGGAACCATTTCTTAATATTAAGGATAAGGTAGCAGCTTGCAAGTGCCAGGCCCTGAACTGAGGCTTTATGTGGATTCTCTCGGGTAATGCTTATGAAGTCCGTACTGTCGCTGTCCCCACTTCACAGATAAGGAAACTGAGTTTCTGAGTTTGATTTCTCCAGAGTCATTCATGCAACGGTGTCTGGTTTTGAGCCCGGTTACTACTGTTTTTTGAGAACCTACAACGAACCATTGAACTGGATCCTTCTTCTCATTTGTGCGTGTAACCCTGAGCCACCCTCAAGAGCCAAGATAAAAGGTTGCTCTGGAGGAGTTTGTATTTAAAGGAGGAATCAGTGAAGGACAGCATATTAGTAGGAAGTGATAGTGCTGTGGGAAGATAGAAATGGTAGGAGCCCTGGGAAGGTTTCACTTGGGGGATGGGGGTAACGTGTTTAGTTGTTGTTGTTGTTGTTGTTGTTAATTTATTTTGAGAGAGGTAAGAGACAGAGCATAAGAGTGGGGAAGAGGCAGAGAGAGAGGGGTAGAGAGAGAATCTCAAGCAGGCTCTGCACTACCAGCACAAAGCCCAACACGGGGGCTCAACCTCACAAACTGTGAGATCATGGCCTGAATCAGAGTCAAGAGCCAGACGCTTAACCAACTGAGCCACCCAGGCGCCCTAGTACGTGTTAAGTTTTGAAGGATGTTGGGTTTTGACAGAGAATCAGAGTAATAGGATATTCCAGGTTAATGGCTATCATTACAGAGGAAAATGATCTGAAACTAGTAGTAGTCCATGCTTTTTAGTGTATTTCTAGAACTGCGTGGATACACTAAAAACACTAAATACTTGACAAGAGTGATTTGTATGGTATGTGAATGCAGAGCTGCAGACATTGGAGTAAAGAAGTCAGAGCGCTTGATCTAAAGTAGGTGCGGAGAGAGGTGAGAGAAAACCAGAGAAGTCGTTTGTAGCCTGACATAGCTAAGAATGCCTGGCTGAAAAGTGGGCTGAGTTTGCAGGCAGTGGCAATGGGAGAATTATGTGTGTCTTGGGGGATGGCTGAGGCCCTCCAGCAGAGGGAGTGGTAAGCATTTGGCAATCTCGTCTAGGGGCATAGCGTTATTGTGATGGTGACCTGCATCACACTCATTCAAATACCAACGGGCTGCTGTGTCAGCCATAGGCGGGCGCCCCAGGCATACCATGGTCCTGCCTGCCCTCCTGCTTGGTTGTGATGCCAGCAGCTGTTTGTAGAGACTCTGGGTGAACAAAGCCCCCTTCCTGTCCTTGAGAAAGGGATGAGTCTGTGATAGTCTGCGCCCACAAGCCCAAGAGCCTAAGACTGGGCTTTGAAGGGAAGATTGCACATCGGTCTATCTGAAAGCTAATTCCCTTCTTGATGCACTTAACATGAGATAAGCCACATTCCCTGGTGTCCCCTGGTGCTTTCCTGTGGCCTTTTGCCCCAGCTGCAGAGCTTTGGACGACCTTCACTAGGCTGTGTTCCTCAGATGAGAAAACGTATGTGTAACCCACAGTGGGTCCCAGGCTTGGCGACCTGTGGCTCTGACCTCTGCTTAACCGGCAGTTTGGCCTGAGTTGGATGCCATGTCAGCTAATTGTTCTTGACAGAGCCTTCAGGTCAAGTGTCAGTCAGTGGACTGTGGGATGTTTTAGGACTTTCTAGGAGGGGCCTCAGCCATGGCTATCTTCGCCACCTCTTTTTTTTTTTTTTTTTTAATGTTTTATTTATTTCTGAGAAAGACAGCGTGAGCAGGGGAGGGTTAGAGAGAGAGGGGGATACAGAATCTGAAGCAGGCTCCAGGCTCTGAGCTGGCTGTCAGCACAGAGCCTGACGCGGGGCTCGAACCCACGAACCGTGAGATCATGACCTGAGCTGAAGTCTGACGCCTAACCGACTGACCCACCCAGGCGCCCCTGTCTTCACCACCTCTTGTAGCTGGCAGAACTCTGAGCACCCCTGACCCACAGCTGGCACTGGGTACTGAACACGTGGATGAGAAGCTTGGGTATGCCTGGCCTCTACACCACTGAGCACCAAGCAGGGTCTGGTCCAGAAGCAGGGTAGCTGTTAGGCTGCTCTGGACCTGCCACTGACTGTCCACTGGGTTTTATGTGGGTTGTCCCTTCAGAACCTTGCAGCCCTCCTATAAGGAAGGTATTGTTCTCCCCCTTTTCCAGATAAGAAGACTGAGGTTCAGAGAGGTTGAGTAATTTGCCCAGGACCATACAGCTAGCAAGAAGACAAGCGGAAGTCCAGGTTTATAGCTGCAAAGCAGCCCTCTCCCTCTTCTTTCACACTGCTTCCCAGCTCCCTAGGAATGCAGCCTGGCTTTTTGCAGCCTTTTCCCTGAGGAATCAGTGGCCATATCAGATGAGTTGCCTTTTTGGGAAACGCTTTGTTACTCTGTAATGTCTGAGCATTGTCAAGCTTTGTGAAACAAAGGGTAATAAATGAAAACCAACATTTATTGATCACCTACTGTATCAACAGGCTCCGTGCAGGGCACTTGACAAGCATTATCTCATCGAATCCTTATGACAGCCCTATTTTTGGTCACGTTTTACAGGTGAGGAAACAGGCTGAGGGGACCTGAGAGCATGCCCAGGGCACGCAGCTGGGATTTGCACACAGGCATCCCAAAGCTTGCCTGTATGACCACACATCGCACCTCCATGCCCTGGAGATGCCTCCCACACAAACCTTGGTAGCGTCAGTGGACCAAGCAGGCAGCTCCCTTGGGCAGCCACTGTAGCCCCTGAAACCACAGGAGCTGTGAGGCTCTGGCAGCACGAACGCCGGGGCCACCATGCCACTGGGACGTGAAGCCTGCAGGGGTGGTTGGGGAGCTGCCCAGTTACACGCTTAGTTTCTAACGTTCGTTATTGAGCAACAGCCGCCACCCTGGGCAGAGAAGTCAGTCAGTCGATGGGCAGCGATGGGCGGAGCAGTAGCCTCGCGCTGAGGTGTGTGGCAGTGGGTGAAGGTGTGGTCCGAGGCCCGAAAGGTGTGCAGGCTGAGTCACCTACTGGCCTGTCGGCCGCAGTGTACCTCAGACAGTACTGGCTGTCCATCTGGGAACCTGTCCCACTTGGGAGGGGCTGTGGGCCCCGAGGGAGAAGTTGGGAGGCTTCCCTCCCCGCACTCAGTATTTGTCTTGTCTCCTGCCCCGCAGCTGGCCGCGGCCCTGCCCCTCCCTTTGATCCTCTGAGAGAGTCTTCACTGAGCTTTGCTTTCTAGTGTGAAATACAGGGCTTATGAAATTTCCACTTACTTGTGAAATCCAAACCCACCTACACTTATTAATTCCTGCCAATGTCCCAGAACCAGCATCCCACCCTGCCCATGGGGCAGGTTCACTGGAAGCCAAACGAAGCCAGTTCTGGAGTCAGGATCCCACTGGCACCTGAGGAGCCCCTCTCTGGCATCTGGGTTGAGTCCTTGATCCTTGTCAGGTTGCTGAGTTGCCCTCCCTTCAGGATCCTGTGTGAGATGGGCAGCCTGAGGGTGGCATGGCTAAGAGCACCGAGGTCGGGGTTTCGTGCCCACCTTCCACTTGAGCACCTCCCACTTCCACTTGTGTCCTCTGGCTGGTCATTAAACCCGGCTGTGCCTCAGTGTCTTGAGGTTTTGGGTTAACTGGCACGGTGCCTGGCACCCAGGTTCAGTTGATACTTGCTGACTGATAGGACATCTAACTACAGACAAGTGCAAGGGAGAGAAAGGGAAACCACTGCATGTGCCCGTGAGCAGTGTCGGCCTGCAGTGAGCTGAAGAGGCTCTCCCTGCCGGGCTCGTCCGTGTGCGGGAGCTCTGAGACGCCGTGCTGTTCTGTGTACCTAGTGCTCGGCAGAGCTCAGCAGTTCTGCAGGTGTTTGAACCAGTGAAGGAACTGGTGACCAGTCCGGCGCTCCCTCACCAGTTAGTTCTTTGTCTTAAATGCCCTCCTATAGTGGGCTTTTTGCTCCTTAAAAGTGGAGAGTCTTTTTCTCTTTTGTTGTGTTGATTGCAACCAGCAAGAATAGTCTTTTGGGAGAAATGGGGTGGCTCCAGGCTCCCTGAGTTTCCTGCTGGTCGAACAAAGGTTGGAACCTCCGATCTCAGAAGCACAGAAGCACGGGGTGAGTTAGTGGCAGTGGCCAGTCTGGGACCAGCCCCTGGTTCTGGCTCCAGGCCATACTGTTGCTTTCAAAGCCTCTGTGCCCGGCAGCCCCTTTGTCTTTGCTGCTCTGTCCTCCTGTCTGAAGGCCAAGGGAGGATTCCCCTTGCTTCTAGGGACTCGGTCAGATCCAGCCCCAGCCAGCTCTCCAAAGAGCCCCTGATGCCACACAAGGCAGAAGCTTTTTATCAGGGTACTTTGGATTAAATTCTGCGGCTGCTGCTCTGTGCTTCATTACCTCAGATCTCCAGAAATCCTGCCACTCAGCAGCCATTTCCAGGGTCCCATTTCTGGAGAATGCAACCTGCTAACCAGGTACCTGCTTTGCCCACAGGCCAAATACCTGGCCCAGATCATTGTGATGGGGGTGCAGGTGGTGGGCAGGGCCTTTGCCCGAGCCCTGCGGCAGGAGTTTGCAGGTAAGCTTGAGCCCCCTTTTCCCCCAGGGCCATCCGGCCAGGATGCTGCAGTTCTGGCAGCCTGGGGCGTTTCCAGGGGGTGGGGGGTATTGTTGCACTTCAGGACATTCTCATGAAAGGGAAAGCCAGTTGACTGTGAACATTGAAGCAGGAATGGGCAAACTGGTTCACCTGACCACCTGTTTTTGTATATAAAGTTTTATGGAACACAGCCATACCCTCTGGCTGCTTTCAAGAGTCACTAGTTGCAAACCCAGATATTAATTGGCCTGCAGAGCCTAAAATATTTATTCTTTGGTCCTTTAAGAAAAAGTTTAGTGGATCCTGATTCTGTGGTCATTGAAAGAGAAGAGGTCACCTGAGCCACCTGCTTTGGTGACCTAGGTAACTGGTGGGCAGCCAGGTCTCAACTGAGCTATTACTGCCTCTTCATACCTGCAGCTTTACTCTGTCTCCCATTGTCGCCTAAAGTTCCCCATCTTGCTTTGCACTTGGGAGGACGGGGCCGGGGAGAGGAGAGGAATAGAGCCATCTTGTGGTCTAGGTTGGGGACCAGACCCTGTACCTGTCTACCAGTGGAGTAAATCTGTCCTCACTTCACTGTCCCCCACTCCTCACCCAAAAAAAAAAAAGCCACTCCTGGAGAAGAGATGCACCCTGTCCCTGTGTGTGTCTTCTCCCATGCCACCTGGCAGGCTGAGCTGCCCACTTGGAAGGCCCAGGGGGAACCTCTGGGCTGCTGAGGGCCGAGCACTCACCCGTGTGTCCACACAGCCAGCCGGGCAGCAGCTGACGCTCGGGGACGTGCTGGATACCAGTCTGCAGCTGCCTCCAACCTGTCGGGCCTCAGCCTCCAGGAGGCACAGCAGATTCTCAATGTCTCCAAGCTGAGCCCTGAGGAGATCCAGAAGGTGAGGCCACTAGGTTGGCTTTGAGACAGGCCTTGCCCCACAGACCAGGATGGAGGTGCAGGCTGGGGGGAGTCAGGCTGCGAGGGTCCGGAAGAGTGAATGTGGCCTGGTGGAAAGGGGCAGGTGTTTGGACTCCCAGGTTATGGCAGCCGCTGTCACTCATTTGTTTTTAGGCCCAAAGCAGACAGTGGCAGGGACAGAGCAGTTGGCGGTGGTAGACAAGCCCCTTCCCTCCGTGGGCACTTGTCCACCTCTCTGTCCGCCAGCAGTCACATGGGCTTCCTGGGTTACACAGTGGGGCACGTGGGCGGCGGGGCTGAACCCTTTGGCTTTCCTTCCTTGTCATTTCCTAGCTTCCCCTGCCTCTGTAACCCAGAGCCTGCACACCCTCTCACCGTCTCCCCTCCCCTGCAGAACTACGAACACCTATTCAAGGTGAACGACAAATCCGTGGGTGGCTCCTTCTACCTGCAGTCCAAGGTGAGTGCTCTTTGATGCTGGGAGGGATCAAGCCCAAGGCCCTCTTCTCACGGGGGGGTCCTTCGTTCCCAGGCTGTTCAGAGCTTGGCAGCCAGGCAGTTGTGCCGGGCGTCCCTGGTGCCCCAGCCTCAGGGGGCCCCCCTCTCCCCCAGGCTGCCACCGCCTCAGCTCCCTAGGGCCTAGCCAGTTGGGCTAAATTGTCTGGGCCCTGTGTCACCCTGATGGTGGCCCTCCCAGGAGCCATGGCTTTGAGGGAATAGGACCACTGGCTGGTGAAGAGCAAGGCGTGCCTGTCCCCCAGCGAATGCTGCGCACCGGTAAGGGAGGCACTTGTGTTTCCCAGGCTGTTGGCTCAGCCGTGCCCAGGGCTCTGCAGGGACCTGCAGCTGGGAGGACTGGGAAGGGCAGAGGCCCACCCCACTCAGGGCCCTGCCCATTTCTAACTCCCTCCAGGTGGTCCGAGCCAGGGAGCGCCTGCAGGAGGAGCTCAGAATCCAAGCCCAGGAGGAGAGAGAGAAGGAGCAGATGCCCAAAACGTGACCACCCGGCCCCTCCTGCACCCTGCCCACCACCTCTAATTTATAGCTCGGTAATAAATGTCTGTTCCGCGTTTCTCAGTGCACGCATCCCCATTCCAGAAGGCAAGTTGCTCTTCCCGCCAGGGGAGGGGGAGTCAGCGGCATGGCATCCCTGGTTACATGCCTTGGACACCCTGCAGGGCTGGGGTAGGCGGGGTTGGTGAGAAGCCAGCCCTGCCCTGCCCTGCCCGCTGAGCTGTCACGTACTGGACGCAGCCACTCCTGTCGCAGCTCCAGTGCTGGGCCCCTCCTGCAGCACCCCCATCCTCAGGTCGGCCCTTGCCCTTCCCACCGAGCCCCAGGTGCCCAGCTCGGTCACAGGCCGCCTCTCCCTGAGCTGAGTTTGAATCTGGAATCTGGGTGGAATGTTCCAGTGCTGCAGAAGAGAAAAGCCTCTGCCAGCCTTTCAGTGGATGAGTTGTGTCTCCCCCAGAACTAAGCCTCTTATCAAAGTCACAGCAGGTGGTGGCAGGACAAGGTCCTGCTGCATCCTGAACCTTCCATGTCCGGCTCCCTCAGCACTTGCCCCCTTCCTCCCCCAGCTCCCAGCAGCAGATCAGGCAGTTGCGACACCCACAGGGTGAGAGGGAAGTCCCACAACAGGGCCTCTGGATGCTGTGTTCTGGGGGTGGGTGACCTGAACCAGGCGCAGGGTGGCTTAGCTCACGGCACGGCCAAGACAGAAACTGTCTTTGAACTCACTTTTATTGTTTCTTTATAAACTTCCTCTCACATGGAGGAATATATTGTTATAGTCATTAGCTTATCTCTTTTTTTTTTAAACTCTATGCTAACAGCAATGGAGCCAAGAGGAGGAAAACATAAGCTACGATAGAAAGGCACTTAGAACCTGTTAAAATACTGATATCCTGGAATGTGCAACAACAAACCCACAACAACAACACGTACACCAGCCCTTTCGAGCCTGGTCTATCACCGAGTCACATGCTGAGCTAATGTCACCTTCCAGTGCCCTGTTCCTCTGCTCCCTGGGCTTGAGTCTCAAACCCCTCACCCCCACCTGGGGATTTAAGGCCTGGGTCCTGGGTGGGGCCCGAAGAAAGGAGACCAGCTCCCTCCTTTGCTCACAGCCCCTTCAAGGGGCAGAGCCAGCACTGCCAGGCCCTGTCAGGGCAGGCCAGGTCAGGGTGACCCCTCTAGGACAGAAGGGCAGTCCAGGAAAGGGTGGGGTCTGCAGGCTTGCTAACCACCCCACTGCTGGCCTGCAGCTCCCTGTTCTGCAGCAGGGGAATGGAGTGCTTGGTCATGTGGCCAAGGACTGGGCAGGCCTTCGAGCCAGAAGTCCTGACTGCCAGGCCAGCACCTCCCAGATGGCACCAGGCCACCTCCAGGGAGGGAACAGCAGGGGCTCAGGGCGGGGAGAGCATATGTGCTATGGCCTCAGGGCCTGGTGGGGTCGGGCCATGGGGCGTATGGAACACCAGCATCCTTAGCTGATTCTGGCCCATGCCACTGAGAGGCAGAGGTTCCATTGGGAAGAGCCAAAGCCAAAGGAAACAGCCATGTCTTAAGTCCAGGCTCCTTCCTCCAGCTTCCCTTTCCTGGGCAGAGGGATGGGGCCCTCCCTTGGGCATCCTAGTTCTCCATACTGTCCCTAAGCCCAGGGCTTTCAGTCCACAGCCTCTGGAAAGCTCCCACAGCCAGTGCTGGCCTGGAGCCTTAACTGCTCTTGTGTGTTGGCTGTGACTTGGCACCCCCAGAATGGGAGCTGTGTCCCAGCCTGAGGTTGTCCCCGGCCAGCCTCCCACCTCTTGACACCCTGCAAGCCTCCAGAGTCCCTTGTGCAGAGTGCCACTGCCCTAGGCCAATCCGGTCCCACCTGCTCCGAGCCAAGTGAGGGCCCAAGATCCTGGCATCTCCCCTCCTCTCTTAGAGTGCTCCCCACACTTCCAGGGCCCTGAAAGGAGAGGGAGAAGGCCCAGTAGTTAAGGGGCAGGTGAGTGGTCAGCAGCCCCCCACTTTGGAGAGTGTCCAGCCCAGACAAGGGGCTGACCCTCCGTGCTGGCTGTTTCTGGACGGGCTAGTGGGGAGGGGCAGCTGGCAGAGCGGGCCTCCCTTTTGGAGTTTGGAGGCACCTTGTCATAGGGATAAGGTGGCTTCTTTCTGTGGCTTTGCCTGCGTCTGTCTTGCTCTCCCTCTGGAGAGTGGGCCAGAGGGAAAGGGGTCCACGAAGCCCCCAGAGCAGGGGCCCCAGAAAGGCTAGAGAGGACAGGAACATGGCTGGCAGGTGGTCAGGGCAGGAGGGGCAGGTGACCTACCCAGGCTGGTAACTGGATGAGGGAGGTACCAGGGTGGAGGCCAGGGGGTCTGAGGGCTGGGTGAAGGAGAGGGCAGGGGGAGGGCTGGAGGTGAACAAGGCCTTAGCACCCAGGAGCACAGCTCTCCCTGGCTAGCAGGACCAGCCCCCCTCCGGGGCACCACCAGTGACCTTCTAGCACCATCCTTGCTGCCCAGCTTGTCTGGGGCTGGGTCTGCCTGGGGGACACAGCCAACCAGGCCACAGGGGCAGGAGGACATTATTGCTATTTCGCAGAAGAGTTTCCGTTCGTCGGGGGCAGGGGCCAGGAGCTCCTAGCTGGGCTGCAGGCAGCTGTCCACCAGGCTGATTCAGTTCACCACGGCCGGCTTGAGCAGCACAGAGCCTGGCGGGATGACCACCCAGCCCGGAGCGAGCGCCTCTGGGCTGCTGGCTGCCGAGCTGACCCCCGTGGACAGGTCCAGCACGGTGCCCGGCAGCAGGGGGAGGCCATCCGGGCTCGGCCGGGAACGGCTGTTCTCAGTCCTCTCCAGGGGTGTCTTGCGGCCCTCCATGCCCAGAGACCTGGCTGGCACTGCCCCACGCCCCTTCTCCCCCTCAGCCTTGCCGCCAGCGGAGCCAGCGAGGAGGGAGACCACAGGCAGGCCCAGTCCGCCAGCCCCAAAGGGTGAGGGCAGCAGCGGGTTCTTGGCCAGATTGAGGGGCAAGACGGGGCCCGGCAGCCCGGGGCCCATGCCCCCTGCGCCCGCACTGCCCCCACCGTTGCCACATGCCAGGGCACTGAGGTCGAGGGGGCCGGGGGCCAGGGGCAGGGGCAGGCCGGGCAGGCCGGGGCCTCCGAAAAGGGCAGCAGGGTTGGGGATGATGATCTGGGCTCCACTGACATAGGGGCCGCCATCGGGGGTGGGCAGTGGTGGCTTGGGGGGCGGGCGCAGTTGCAGGAGCTCTTGCTGCTCATGAGACACGAAGTGGCCGTGGGCCTTGATGTGCTTGCGCAGCGAGCTGGGGTCCGTGTAGCGCTTGTGGCAGCCAGGCATCTTGCAGTAGTAGGGCTTGTCCACGTAGTGGGTGCGCGTATGCTTGAAGCGGTCACTCGAGTTGGAGTAGCGCTTGTTGCAGCCCTCGTAGGGGCACACGTAGGGCTTCTCACCTGCAGGGCGGCGCCGCGTGAGGGGCCTCTCCCCAGCCCAGCCTCCGCACCCCGCCCGCGCCCCAGGCCCAAGATCCGATCCCAGCTGGCGTCAGCAGGGCACAGACACTAACAGCCGGCCTGGTCACCCCCAAGCCCTGCCCATGGCCTGTCCTCGGCCCTGTGCTTCAAATTGTGGATGACCGTGACCACTTCCACAGGCAGGACCACAAATTTGCTTCCACACTTCCCGGAAGACCCTGCTGGGGCATGGCCCACCCTGAGCACTGCCGGAACGCTCCCCACAGCTGTGCTCCAGCCCCGGCTCAGCAAAATGCCTCCAGATTTACTAACTGTCTGGGAGCCACTTCTGGGCTCTGAGCCTTTGCAGTGTGGCCGGCCCGAACCGGGATGTGCTGTGAGCATAGAGCACATACGGGGTGGGAGGAGGGCGGGGATACACACCAGATTGTGATGCCACAAACTTCGTACCAAATCAATCCAATGTCTCATTGACAGTATTTTAATATATAGGGTTCGAGAAAATATTTCATTACAATTCATCTTACCTCTTTCTTCGTACTTTTTGTAATGTGCAATGAGGGTGGGGGGTTTTGGTAAATAGGAAATTTAAATCAGGTGTGTGGCTGTGTCGCCTATGCTGGCCGCACGGCGTGCCTGGGCACAGCGAGGGGCAAGCGCACGCCACCTCACAAAAAAACAGTGCGGGCTGCGGCGCCTCAAGGTGTGTATGTGCCCCAAGAGAGGATGTAGAGGGTCTGACCCCCGGGAGGGGCTTCGCCCGGAAGTGGCACTCGCAAAGCGACAACTGCACAGTGAGATGTGTCCCTCACGCACCCCTTCGTTGCCCGCCAGCCCAGCCACTCACCCGTGTGCGACCGGTTGTGGATCTTCAGGTTCTCCAGGCGCGAGAAGCTCTTGCTGCAGGTCGGGCAGCGGTGCGGCTTCTCGTTGGTGTGCGTGCGGATGTGGATGAGCATCTTGTACCTGCTCCAGGGAGGGCATGGGGGGATCTCGACTCAGTTCACGGGACCCCGGAGCCCCTCTCCCCCAGCCCCCCCTCTCGCCCTCCCTCACCTGGCGTTGAAGCCGCGGCCGTGGCGGGCACAGCCTTCCCAGTGGCAGCAGTACCCCGCGTCCTTCTCGGGCTTGACGTGGTAGTCGTTGACGTGGTCCACCAGGTCTTGCAGGAGCTCGAAGAGCTGGTTACACTGCGGGGCCGAGGACGGTTCTGAGTGTGCGGCCGCGCACCCCAGCCCTCGCCCTGGTCCTCCTGGCTCCCCCACTCACCTTGGCCCAGCGACACACCAGCTGCTTGGGCAGGGGGAGCTCTGGCGAGAGGCACTTGTCCTTGGGGGGGGTGAGGAAGGAGGAAGCAGGCAGGTGCAGGGCCCCCCCAGAGCCCAGAGGCAGGAAGAACTGAAACGAACTGGGGACACCATCCAGATAGCGCAGTGGCTGGAAGTCCTAGGGGTAAGGTGGGGGGAGAGAGCTGGTCCACACCACCCGTCTCCTTCCGTGGCGGGCTGTGTCCCCCACGAGGACATGTCCCAGTCCCAACCCCCTGTACTCTGGGTGTGACCTTAATTGGAAACAGGGTCTTTGCAGATGCAGTCAACATCATACTGGACTGGGGGGCACTAAATCCAGTGACTGATGTCTTCATAAGAGAAAGGGAAATTTGGACACAGACAACAGAGGGAAGAAGGCAAGGGGTCACCAGAGGCAGATTGTGGAGTGACCTGCTACAAGGCAGGGCACACCAGGAGCCAGGAGAGGCTGGAAAGAAGCGAGGAAGGGCTCTTGCCCAGAGCCTTGGGAGAGAGCACGGCCCTGTCGATGCCTTGATTTCAGACTTCAGTTTCCACAACTGTGACAGAATAACACATTTACGTTGTTCTAAGCCACCCAGTTTGTGGTCCCTTCCAGGAAACCAGTACACCTCTTTCCAGAGCCCTCACGCCCTCCTCACCGGCGCGGTGGGCACTGCAGGCAGGTCCCCGTTGCCCTGGCGCTCAGGGGACAGCGAGCTGCTGCCATTGGGGGAATCCAGCCCAGACGGCGGTGACAAGCTGAGGTCTACCAGAGGGGCAGCCGAAAAGCGTCCCTCTACCTTCTCGGGGAACTTGGGGTTTAGCAGGAAGCCTAAGAAAGAGAAAGACTATTCAGAGGTGCTGGAGCTGAAGGTACCACGAATCCCCCCCCTCCCCCATGATCCTGGAAGCAGATGCCACCCGCAACCCCCCCCCCCAGGACCACCCTGGGACCCCAGGCATCTGAGCAGCAGGCTGCACACCTGACAGGTGTGGCCCTTGTCACCATGAGAGTTCAGCCATTCGTCAAGATAAAAAGTGGAACGTACCCATTGAACAGGGACTTGAAGCCAGACCCCTGGTTTCCTGTCACACTGGCAGGTAGGGACCTTTCTGACTTTGCCTGCGCCCCTTCCTGACCCACTGCTCCCTTCTGTAACACAAGGGGCTGGGGCTGGGCTGCTTCCAAAGCCTTACAGCTCACATGGTAGGTGTGGTTTTCAGGGTTCAGTGGAGGCAGAGTGGGAGTCCTGAGCCCCATGCACCCCCTGAGAAGATCTTGCTGGGCTCCGTCCCCAAGCTCTACTCACCTGACTGACCTCAAAGCCCAGGAGTTGGGTCACAGGGCCTTGTCACTACTTGTGAATTCCCTGCCCCCCTTACCAGCCCCTCCCGGAGGCCTAGTTTGAATCCTGGCTCTACTGTGCTACCCCCTGGGGACAGTGTCCCTCCGTAGACAAACTGCTGAGGATAAATGGACAGAGCTCTAGGCTGAAAGCCGCTAGGGGCTGTGGTTACATCCTGGTGGACACACCTTGGACGTTCTTTCCACTGCCACAGCTCCACCGGGACCCGAGACCTGCCCACCCACCCCCGCCCCCGCCAATACCAGGGGTGCTGTACCTGAGGGCGGGGAGCCCGGAGAGCCTGGGGTGGGGCTGTCGTCCACCAGGCCGAGCTCCCTGTGCAGGGCTCGGTGCCGGACCACACTCAGCGCCCTCTCACGCTTTTCTCTCGCCGCTCGGAGCTTGGTGATGCTCAGCTTCAGGTCGAGCGGCTCGTCCAAGGAGTGCATGGTGATGGGGGGCTGGGTTGGAGATGGCTGCAGGCAGTGGGGGGCTCCCAAGCTGGTTTTCAGGCAGGAACCTGGGAGAGGACAGGAGCTGTGCTGTGAGTCTGTGACCTCAGGGTTCTCCTCGGGCCGCACCCATTGAAGCCCACAGGGGACAGAGCATAGATGTCCCGCAGTGTGAAGGGAGCCCCTCTGAGTGGCTCTGGCCCAGGGTAGCAGAGAGCCAACAACCTACTGAGAGCTCCCATGTCCACTAGCCTCAAGTCTTTTCTGGAGAAAGCTCAGAGAGTCCATTCTGCCATGAAACTGAGTCTTAAGAGACACTGCCTCAGGTCACAGAGCTAGAAAGTGGCAGACCACTGGATTCAAGGCCACATCTCCCTGGAAATGGCCAGCCATGTCCCAAATGTCATTTCTGACCGAGTGGAAAGTCATGCTTGGGATCACGTGCCTGGTTTGAGCCTGAAGACCCAGAACCAGACCAGAAGAGCAACAAGAGTCTTCCAAGGCAGCCGTGAGTGGTCCTTAGCTTCCAGTTGCCGAGCGCCCACCGTGTTAGGCCCAGGCAGCCGTGGCCACCTGCAAGGGGAGGCGGCTACGAGCGTGTCTCCGGCAAGCCTGGTCCAAAGGATGGGGCGGCAGACAGGTTGGCCTGGCCTCCCAGGTGAGGGCCAGAGAGGTGCTCATGGGCCTTGGGGAGCCACAGGGCTCTGGGCCGCCACCAGGGGGCAGCTGGGGACCGTGATCCAGGCAGGCCAGCCAGGAACAGGGTTTGGAGGGAAGTGGACCAGCTGTCTGGTCATTAATTATATATATGTACATACATCATTTTTTCACTGCTGATGATGTTGTTTTATTATAAGTTCTCATGCCGTTATTTTCACCACTTCCTTAGAACTTCTCAACGGTGTAATTTTCTTCACGTACAAATAACGGGGAAGAGCAAGGTCAACTCTTTATTCCAAACTCAGCCTTTTTCCAGGGGCAACCTTTTCGCACGTGGTCAAAAGTGTTTCCCTACATTTGTTAATTGAGACGATCACACCCTGAAAAATCTATCTGCTAAACAAGCTGACACTGTGAGATAGTCCACGTCATTCACCAAATCCACGTTTGCGTAATTCAATACAGGACATCCCTGTAACCACCACATGGTGAATGACCGTATATTTCAGTGTCTGTCTCTGCCTGGGAATCAGAATGGCCCACACGCGTGCAGACCTGCTTTGTGCAGCAGGAAGGAGGAGGGCAGCCCCCACATCCCCACTCATCCTTCTTCCAGGCCAGGCCCCTCAGCAACTTTAAACAGTTTTCTCTGGTTCATGCGTCTCCATGACAAGCTCTACTTCTGCCAAGACCCTCCAAGCACACAGGGAACAAGGCAGCCCCCCCTCCCTCCGTTAGGACCCTCTGCTGCTAGGACATCCCAAGACCCTACCAGCACATGGCTAATATCAGAGCTCAAGGAGGGGCAGCTGCACTTGGTGATAGGGCCCCATCTGTGACTTGTCCCAGCTAAAGTGCATCAGGTGAGAGCGGTCAAATCTCTCTGGATTTGCCCCCCCAGGCCATGCAGGGCCAGGGATCTCAGCGATGCAAGCAGGGCTGGGATCAGGCTGCCACCCTGTCCTTTAGGAGCCCCAGACTCAAGGTGGGCAGGTGGGTGGGTGACAGTGATGGATGGACTGGGCCCCTTCCACTCTCCCTCTGGCTGGCCAGGGAGCTGCCCTCTGCCTGACCCCCCTCCCCCAGTTATGTCTGTCTGTGTGTCTGCCTGTCCCTCCACCTGTTTATTTTTAGACACAAGCCCAGTTCAACCTCCCTGAAGCTCCTCTGTGCTGGGAGCCTGGAAGGGGAGGAAGGAAGTAAATATTTATGCTGATTAAGAATTCAGGAGCCAGGAAGGGCTGGTGGCCTGGTCCTTCAGCTGGCCTAGGGCCACAGGCCTCCCCACGGCCTTCGTCTCCATCGCCTACCCCCAACCGGCCTTCTGGAGAAGGGGACCATAAGGGCAGTATGATTTGGAAACTGGGAATTCAAACTGACATTTTCATTGGCAACGCTGCCCAGGTAACATCCTTTGGCATCTGCCCTACTGGCCTCTGCCCCAGGCCAGAGGGGGTCCAGGGAGGGGCCCTAAACCCTGCTGGGTCACCCTGTTCTAAAGACCTGCAGGAGACACTGCCTCAACCTAGAACTGGGGAGGGCCATAAGAGGAGTGTTTCCCCTGGTGGGCTGGGCACAGTACCCAACCAAGGTGGGGGTGGGGATTTCAGCACCCCCCTTAATCAGCAGGCTCAGCGCCCAGAGAACCACCCCCCCACACACACACACACACACTTCCTGCCACTGGGTTCTGCCCAGGGAGGCAGGGGTTCATTTGGATGGATGCCAGAACCCAGCCCAGAAGCCCAGCCCCTCCCCCCCACTCCTGGGGAAGGAGGAATAAGCCACCCCAAACGCCCACACCTCCCAGCGACCCCCAGCACCTGTCTCCTGTCCTGACCCTGACCAGCCTCAAGGTGTCCCCTGACACTACCGACCCCCACCTTGCAGAGACCATTCTGAACTGGGGCTCTGCTCTTTGTTCCTGGGCTGGGTGGAGGGGGGAAAGCGAGAGCCAGGGTGACACCCTCCCGGGATTCTGAGGCCCAGAGGGGCGGCCGCCAGGGCCTGGAACCCTGGGGCACGCGGTGATCACCTCCGGAAGCCAGCCAACGCCGTCACCCGTATCGACAACCAGGTGGGCTGGGGAGGCGGACGCCCGACCCGATTCCCAAAGGCGGCTGGGGACGCTCCGAGGGGTGCCGTGCCCGGCTCGCAGGGAGCAGGCGAGTTTCGGAACCAGTGGTGGAGCCCGGAGCCCGCGGCAGCGGTGCCGCGGCCCGGCCGCCGAGCGCGACCCCCTCGCCGCGGGCGGGCGGGCTGGGAGGGGCGCCGAGGGGGTCGCGCTGCCGGGCGCCGCGCCGCTGCTCCAGCTGCGCAAGGAACTAATTAGAGCCCAGGGAGCTGGAGGAAGCGGGGCGGCGCGGGGACCACCGGGGCGGCGGGGCGGGCGCGGGACCCCGGCCGGCCTCCCCGCGGGGCGGGGGTCACCCCGAGGGTGGGCAGCGCGGGACCCCCCGGGGCCCGGCCCCCGCCCGCCGCGTCCGGGCCCAGACAATGGCCGCTATTGTGCGCCCGCCGGCCGCCGCGCGCAGACGGCCCCCAGCTGCAGCGCCAGGCCAGCGCCCGGCCCGCGCCCCCGCCCGGCCCGGCATACCTGGCGGCCGAGCCCACCCGCGGCGGGCGGGGCGAGCGCGGGGGCGCGGGGAGACGCAGGCCCGGAACTCGCACGGACTCACCCGGGGCGCTGTGGCGTGGGGTAGGACGCCCACTGGTTGGGGGTGGGGGGCGGTCCACACCCGTCCAACACCTACCATGTGCCAGGCACCGGCTGTCCAGGAATTCTTGGAACCCTCGAAAACCCCTACTGGGAGCAGGTGCCGACCGCCTGTTGTACACATGGGGAAACTGAGGCTCGAGCTCACCAAGCTCACAGGAGTGGGCTGGCCTCTGGTCTGGATAACGCCCCTCCTTCCCTGCTTGGGGGAGGGCGGCTGGCTGGCCCTGAGGGGTGCCTGTGTAGATGGAGGGGGTAGCTAGGTATACCCACCCTGATGAGTACTCAGGGGCTCCTTGCCAGAGCCGGAGAGAGCACAGGACTCTGTTAAGATAGGGCCTCTCCCTGCCCACACCACAGCAGCCTGGGTGACCCCATGTAAGGGTCACCCCTTATTCCCAAGGTAGTCCTGAAACTGCCCTTTGGTCAGCCGTGCCCATCTAGTCTAGGGTTTCGGAACAAGGGGCCAAGATCCACCTCTCAAAACCCCAGTCGTTTTCTTGCTATTGCATGCAAAGGGGAAGTAAGTCCCCTGCCTCCCCTGTGCTCCATGGGTGCCCTGGTGTTTGGTGACTGGGATCATCACTATCAACATGTTGTTCTCATAAATGGGGAAACTGAGGGCTCGAGGGGGAAGCAGGCCCACTGGAAGCCAGGAGCGAATATTACATTACAACAGGACCAACAGCCAGCTGTTGATGGTCGGGCAAAGAGCCAGCACCTGTTAAAGCAGGTGCTGGTCATCTCTATTTTATGGATGCAAGAACTGAAACGCAGAGAGATTAAGTGACCTGTCCAAGGTCACACAGCTTGTCCGTGGAAGAACTGTTATTTCTAGCCCAGGTGAGTCCAGAAGCCACGTTCACTATTGGCCCCTCCTGTGCCCATGGATGGAGGGGAGGCAGGAGCAAGGCAAAGGTGCTCCAGCTTGGCACCCCCTCCCTGCCCAGGGGTTTGTGGGAGCTAGGTACAGAGCCTAGGAGGGGCAGCAGCAGTGGGTGGGCGCTGGAGGGGCCAACTCCGGCGGGGGGGGGGGGGGCACAGAGAGGCTTGGAGAGCAGAGGGCAGATATGCTGCCAAAGCAAACGGCCCCACATTCCTGGGAACTGCTCTGGCTCCCTCCCTGCTCTGGCCAAGAGCTCCACCCTCCTGGCAGCCCAGCAGCGGGGGCAGGGGCGGGGTGGGGCAGGTCCCATCCTCTCAGCACCCTGCTTCCTGACCAGGCAGCAGGGCAGGGCTCCAAGTGTGGGTCAGACCACCTGGGGCTCCTGCCCATGTGACTTGGGGCAAGTCACCTCCCCATCTGAGCTTCATTGTCCTCACCTCTAAAATGGGATGACAGTAATAAGTAAGGCACCCCTCATTGGGTTTTGGGTAATGATGCACACACATCCTATGGTTTCTTAATGTTTCCCATTATTATGTAATATTCAGCAGTTAAAACAGTGCTGGGCACATAGCAGGTACTTGATCAGACTTGCTGAATTAACTGTCACCGTGGCTGAAACCTCCAGCCTCTGGCTAGTCTAGAGCTGTGAGGACAGCTGAGTGGGGGTGCTGATCCTCCCCACTGTACCCACAGACGCTGCACGCTCACTCTCACCTGGGCCTGCGTGTCCTTCATTTTAAGGTGCAACTAAATAAGCTTGTGCCTCTCAGAAAGCCTCAGGCCTCCTCTCTGCGGTCCTGTGC